CAAGGGATGTGAAGGGTTTCTACAAGTATGTTGGTAGCAAGAGGAGGATGAGGGAAAGTGTGGGTCCCTTACTGAATGGGAGTGGCAGCTTTGTGACAGACGATGCAGAAAAGGCTGAAGTGCTCAATGCCTTCTTTGCCTCAGTCTTTGCAGGCAAGGTCACCTCCCAGACTACTGCATAGGGCAGCACGGTTTGGGGAGGAGGTGAGCAGCCAACCGTGGCAAAAGAACAGGTTAGGGACTATTTAGAAAAGCTGAACATATACAAGTCCTTGGGGCCAGATGGGATGCACCCAAGGGTGCTGAGGGAGTTGACTGATGAAATTGCAGAGCCATTGGCCAACATCTTTGAAAATTCTTAGCGATCAGGAGAGGTCCCAGATGATTGGAGAAAGGCAAACCTAGTGCCCATATTAAAGAAAGGGAAAAAGGAGAATCCAGGGAACTACAGACCAGTCACCCTCACCTTAGTCCCTTGGAAAAATCATGGAGCAGATCCTCAAGGAATCCACTCCTAAGCATGTGGAAGAGAAGGTAGTTAGGAACAGTCAGTATGGATTCACCAGGGGCTAATCGTTCCTGACCAACCTGACTGCCTTCTATGATGAGATGACTGGCTCTGTGGGTGCAGGGAGACCAGTGGATGTGGTGTACCTTGGTTTTAGCAAAGCTTTCAGTATGGTGTCCCACAATATTTTTGCAGGCAAGCTAAGGGAGTATGGGCTGGATGAATGGACTGTGAGAAGAACAGAAAACTGGCTGGAGCATTGGGCTCGGAGGGTAGTAATCAATGGCTCAATGTCTAGTTGGCAGGCAGTATCAAGTGGGGTGCCCCAGGGGTTGGTTCTGGAGCTGGTTTGATTTAATGTCTTCATCAGTTACCTGGAAGATGGCATGGAGTGCACCCTCAGCAAGTTTGCAGGTGACACCAAGCAGGGGGGAGTATAGATATGCTGGAGGGCTAGGATTTAGAGTAGGGGCAGGCAGTTATTTCAGGCGGAGGACCGCTTACTGAGTTTTGGCAAGTCATCAAGGGCTGCATGATAGGCAGCCAGGGGCAGACAAATATTTATTTCCTAAATTTTGGGGGCGGGGATGTGGGCCAGATAGTATGGCCTGGTGGGCTGCATTTTGCCCACCCCTGATTTAGAGAGACCTAAACAAACTGGAGAATTGTGCCAAAAGGAGTCTCATGAGGTCCAAGTGCAAAGTCCTGCACTTAGGACACAACAGTCTTATGCACCAGTGTAGGCTGGGGGCTGATGGGGTGGGCAGCAGCTCTGCAGAAAAGGACCTGGGGGTTACAG